TCAAAGCTTTTCAGTTTCTTTTCTTCCTATTTCCTTTTTTTTAAAACCTATTTTGGACTTCAATAAGTGATAAATAAATTTCTACCATGTTTGGATAACTTTAATAGCTTTATTGATATGTTATTTATGTCATAAAGATCATTCATTTTAGGTGTACAATTCAATGAGTTTTAGTATATTGATAGAGTTGTCCAACCATCTCCATAATCTAATTTTAGAACATTTTAATCATTCCCTAAAAAAGAAATCTTGTACCAATTAGAAGTCTCTCCTCTTCTCACACCCTCCAAGCCTAATCTACTTTCGTTTTCTATAGATTTGCCTATTCTGAAGATTTTATTCAAATGGAATCATTCAATATATGGTCTTTTGTGTCTAGTTTCTTTTGCTTGGAATAATGTTTTTGAGGTTCATCCATATTGTAGCATATGTTAGTTCTTTGTTCCTTTTTATTGCTCAATAACATTCCATTGTCTGGATATATCATGTTGTGTTTATCCATAGAGAGATGAAGGAACCACTAGTTATGTTGAATATATTTATCTCCTTAGAATATTAAATGTGTTCTTACAACTAAATATATTAAAGTTGACAAAGGTCTGTATGCTCTGAATTCTCAAGTTTAAATCTGAGAAAGTGATACAAGATAGAGAAAAGGAAATCTGAGTGGCTCAAGTTTTAGCTATTATTTTTGTTTGGGCAAAGCTTTACATTCTAACTCATAGGTCTCTGGCTAGTAAATGTTGCATTTGGGTTAGATGACCACTTATAAGCTGTAGACAGTCAGAAGGAGAAGCCATATGTTCTGGGTAGCTCAGGAAGGGGCTGTAGACATGATTGGCCTTGAAATGGACATAGATAGAGAATATTGTTATAGGATGTATTTTCCCAAGAATGAGATGTATTGTTTTTTAATGCAGAAGATGTCTTCATAATATTGTTGGTTGAAGTGGTCTAGAAATTCTAAAGTATTTTTAGATTGTATACCTGATAAGACTACTTACATGTTTTTGTACCATAAAAAGTAAAGGCACCCCACTACTTCTTAATCTTAGCTTTTGTCGACTTTAATATATTTAGTTGTAAGAACACATTTAATATTCTAAAGAGATAAATATATTCAACATAACTAGTGGTTCCTTCATCTCTCTACTCTCTCCAAGAAACATTTTCTTTGTGATTAGCTATTTTGGTAAGCATTTACTGAGTATCTGTTTTATGGAGAACCTCCAATATGTGCTATACATTGGGATAATAAGTAGGGGTATATTTGTAGAGGGGGAGATCCCTCCAAAATGAAAGACATAATTCCTTGGCGCTTTAGTTCACTGTAGAAGAAACATTTAAATATATTATGTAAGTTCAGAATAAGTACAGAGTAACATGTATTCCCATAACTACAAAATAATATAGTACAATTTAGATGCATATATGTTGAAAAGAACAACATGATGAGATGCAATCAACACTCTAAATCAAGGATTTAGATATGATAAAGACATAGTTTATGCCCTAAAGATTCTTACAGTAATAGATCAGCACATAGTTGAAGCTCAAAAATGTTACTGCATTGTTGTGGATGGATGTGGCGTAAGAGGATGCCATGGTGTGTTGTGGCCTGCTGCTTTTAATGTTGAGAGGGATTAACTGGAGATAGAATCGTCGTTAACCTGATGTCTAATGTGAATACATCCACCCCTGTAAGATTAAGGTTATATGACTAAACTTATGTGTAACAGTGGTTAGCAAAAAAATAAATATTAATATATACATGGATAACCTAAAAATCATTTACTGGTCTTGCAGAGGTGAAATATTGAATTCAAAACTTTCCACAATAGATCATCTTAACTTTGACCCATCGTTTTAATTCCTCCACAAATTTATGCAATCTTTGGCAATTATTTAACTTTTCTCTGCCTAACTTTATTATGGCCTAACTTATGTAACTGAAGTAGAAGGAGACACAAATGTGAGAAGTGAACACTGCATGCTTGGCACAAATAATTTTTTATTTTTTAGAGACGGAGTCTCAGTATGTCCCCCAGGCTGGAGTACAGTGGCATGATCATAGCTCACTGTAACCTCAAATTCGGTGCTCATGTGACCCTCCTGCCTCAGCCTCCTGAGTAGCTGGGACTACAGGTGTGCACCACCACACCGAGCTAATTTTTACATGTTTTGTAGAGATGGGGTCTTGCTAGGTTGCTCAGACTGGTTTCAGACTCCTGGCTTCAAGCGATCCTCCTGCTTCAGCCTCCCAGAGTGTTGAGATTATAGGCATGAGCCACTGTGCCTGGCCAGTGCAAATAATTTATTTTCTGTGTTTTCCCATATCTGAAAACCACAATATTTTCAAATTTTCAATATTTGCATATTTGAAAACCACAATATTTTATTTTACTTTATAAAAAGAAATAAAATAAGCACGTAGTTCCTGAGATCAGAACATAGACCAAATGCAGTTTTTTTGTTGCTGTTGTTTGTTTTTAATGGCTTAAACTAAAATATAGTCATGGACCACATAATCATGTTTTTGTCAGTGATGGACTGCATATACAGCAGTGGTCTCTTAAGATTATAATGGAGCTAAAAAATTCTTATCCAGTATTTACTATACTTTTTATCACTATTTTAGAGTATACTTCTTTTACTTATAAAAAAAAGTTAACTGTAAAACAGCCTCAGGCAGGTCCTTCAGGAGGTAGTCCAGAATAAGGCATTGTTGTTGTAGGAGATCAGAGCCCCACATAGAATGATACTGATGATCCTGACCCTGCATAGGCCTAAGCTAAGTGTGTGTTTGTGTTTTAGTTTTTGACAAATGAGTTTAAAAAGTAAAAAAAGAAAAAATTTAAAAATTTAAAAAGTTTATAAAGTCAAAAATTACTATATGCTAAGGTTAATTTATTATTGAAGAAAGAAAATAGTAAAAAAATTTAGTGTAGCCTAAGTGTACAGTGTTTATAAAGTCCACCGTAATATACAGTAATGTTGTAGGCTTTCACATTTTACTCACCACTCACTCTCTGACTCAATTCAAGCAACTTCCAGTCCTGGAAGCTGCATTCATGGTAAGTGTCCTAAAGAGGTATACAATATTTTATCTTTAGTGCTGTATTTTTACTGTATC